AATAAGTAATTATCAATGATTCTTAGTATGATATTTCTATAAGGGTAGTATATATACATACACTGTAAAAATATACACATACACTGTATATTATGTCATATTTATAAATGCTTAATGTAGATTTGTCAAACTTTTTATTGTCAAACTTTTTATTGTGCTAATCTTTTTAACTGTACTGTCATGCACAACCTTAACGCATCTTCGACACGGTAACATCGCGAGTTCCCGCAAATGTCGCCGGTATAATGCAAATCTCTCGCTAAATATACGGAAAAATTTTTTTTGGATTAATCAAATGTCTGATAAAATATAAACGAACTAGAATTCCGGTTAAAGTTATCAGAATTCTATTCAAATTAACAAGATTTCTGGTTAACCAGGAATTCTGTTTGGTTAAAATCTTGTTAACTTGAACAAAATTTTAGTAACTTCAACCGATCTTTGTTTCGTTTAATATTTCACCAGACATTTGCTTAATCCGATTAAACTTTCTTTTTCGTGTATAATACATTTTTCTTATTGCGGTTGCGGTCTTGTTTATTATAGATCCATGCGCGTTAAGTATAATTACAAGTTTATCATAGATTCTTGAGTGATAAGCCCACTGATTTCATAAGTTCCGTAGAAACGCCACGTGCCGCAATTTTATCGTCCACACTTATCAGTGAATGTTGAGTTTTCGTAACGAGGGGTTCTCCTGCAGTAACTTTATTGAAAGAAATTGCAACGATGCGTAATCCTCAAAAGCAAGGAATTACGTCTGGCACATGACATATCATTATGTTATTAAAATATGTGTCACACGAGCTATTTCAGATAAAAGAGGTATGCTTCAGTAACAAATCGCAATATACTTGTTTTAATTCAGCATTTTCATTTCTTTTTTCGGTCAACACGTTGATATTGAATCTAACTGCAGATTGAAGCCGTATTTTACTGCATTTTATTGGATTCGTTTCCAACATTTCGTGAACAACGATATTTGTGTGGCAATTTATTCAATTAATTTCCGCTGAATTAATTCCGGAAACACCCACGCATTATTTATCGCCATCAATAAAAAACAATAAGCAATAGCAGCGGCGTTCTATCTTCCGCAAACACCGCCAAACCCATGTGTGAATTAGATATCATGTTGCTCGCAAAGTCGGTATGGCAATCGATGCAAGGAGTGAACGGCATGATCGATAAAACGCGTAAAAATGTAAGTCATCGAACCGCCATGAGATAACGGTTCGTGATTCACTGGAGATTTGCACGAGAGAAAGAGAGAGAGCAAAAGATAAAGAAAAACAACATTCCCATAAAAAAGCGACACGTAACGTTGCATCATCGATTCGCAGACGTGTCTCTGAAATACGCAACATGGTGTAACGATGTTTTTTTAACTAGATAAAAATAACTTTATATCTTATCCAAGAAATTGCAGCAATTCACAATCGCGATAAGCTTTCACGACGTTTCCAAATAATTTGTCCCGATGTAGTTCGATTAATCCCGCCCCGATGTACCTGATACTAAATAGAGTCTTCATTTCTTGTGCAGGCGGCAGCTCGCAATGTTCTTACGTACAGTCTGAGAAGCGGCGCGAAAGATCTCAAGGAGGACTGCGGAGCAGAATTTACTCCAAAATTCCGTTAATCGCGCCTCACAAGAATCTCCCAGAGAATATGTCTCGAGTCCCTCTTATGGCATCCAACAGCAGCGCGCCAGAAGTGGCGGATCGTCGGAACACGGTGCTGCTCGAGGTAATGTATCTATTTCCATCAACTCATAAATTATACTCTTCTCTTGATTTGAGCTTAATATAATATATTGTACATAATGATGATTAATATATTTATTGTTAATGCTTTTATGATTATAATGATATCTGATTAATGCAATATACACACACACACACACACACACACATATATATATATATATACAATCCATATATATATTACTACCAATAACAATTAATATAATTAGATATTATTAATTGTAACGTTTTCCTATAGCTATTAATATAATTACTTATCATTATAATTTTATATTGTTAAATATAATTATATGTAAGTTGTTTCATAAAATCACATATTAATGTCTATATACAGAAAAAAAAACCATTTAAAATAGTCATCTTACAATTATAACGAAAATTATCTATATTACGAAATTTATTAACAAGAGACCTGACAAAACTGTCTTTCACCGATTTTGATGTGCTTTGGATATGTTGTAGAATATAAAAAAATAAAAGACCCATATTTTTTATATCGACTTATCTCGAGGTTTAGAGGTTAAAACAGTCCCTTGAAAAAAATTAACTTTTTAATTTTTATGGAATAATTTCTAAGATATGAGGTATATGAAAAAATGTTTCCTACAAAAGTTTTACAATATTTAATACTCTTTGCAATGGCGTATTTAATTTTTTTAAATGTTAAATTTTTTACTCTCCCTCCCCCTTCATTCCTTATCTTCGCAAAATTTAATTTTTTAAGTTTTTGTAAAAACAAAAATTGTAGACCATTTAATACCAAATCTATCCATATATACTAGTAAAAGTTGGTCTCGCTTTAATCGTTGGAAAACGACGTGATAACATCGTACTATAGGCGCCACACTGTCCAAGTAGATGGATACTGTAGGTAGATAGATAGGATACTATAAATAGGAGAATCCTATCAGAAAAAGTGTGTGTTAACTAAATCTCGAATGTATCGAAGTGGATGAAGCCTCTTTTTCGCGATGCTAATTGGCCGTCTCGACCGTCTCGATTGTCTCGATCCCGTCGCAGTTGAATTCGTGCCGCTTGCAGCTATTAGCCGCGGTGATCAGGTTGTGTTCGCATCATATAAATTTAATATTTATTGTAATCCCAGCAAACACAATGTTATATGTAACATACATGTTAGTTGTAATTTCTTACTCAACAAACAATATAACTGTTATATAATATACGTGTTATATAACAGTTACATTGTTGAATAAGAAATTACAACTAACATGTATGTTATATGTAACATTATGTTTGCTGGAAATATAATTTGTAAAAACGAGTATTGTAATATAAATTATAAATGGTACAACGAAAAGGCTAAAGTGGTGCGCGCGAAGCGCGCGCTATGTGGTGTTCTAGTCTCTTTAAAAAGGCATGTAAGAGATTTAATTGTTGCCGCTTTTCCGCGCTGCTGATTGATTCTCTCGCTTAGCTCACTTCATGTGGGCTGCGGTTTGCTTCGTGTTTGCGCCTGTCAAATTACCAGGCAAATAGCTGTCATCGCGTTGGTTAGATCACGAAAAAAAAAATACTATCTGGGAGAGATATGTCTCTCCCTGTCTCTCCCTGTCTCTCCCTATCTCTCCCAGTCTCTCCCTATCTCTCCCTGTCTCTCCCTATCTCTTCCTGTCTCTTCCCGTCTCTGCTTGTCTCTCCCTGTCTCTCCCTATAATTATTAATTAATTAAAGTATATTTTAATTTAATTTAATTTTTATTTTATTTTTATTTTACATTTTTTATTGTTTTTTATTAGCTATATGGCGCGCGCGTAGCGCGCGCATGTATTGTTCTAATATAATAAATTGTAGAAAAATTACACATAGCAATTGCATATATTTAATATATCATGTTTACAATATATAATGTGTGTGTTATTTTATTGTATTAATTATATAATTAATAAAATATTAAAGAAAAATCAATACAAAACTTGCATACACACAAAAAATAAATGTGTTTTATTTATGACACATATTTGTTACAAGGGTAATGCTCATGAAAAAAATGTGTGATATAAAGTGATTGTTTGCACCAAGGACAAATAATTACACTGTTCGACAAAAATCGAACTTTTTTCGTGACACGAATACGAATAGTTATTTCCGATATTTTTGCCTGTTGAACACAAATCCGTCGTCTAAATTTGGCTATCACGTTACAATTTTGAGGAAAATGAAGTAAAAAATGACGATTTTGAGGGTTTTTGTGGCGCTATAGCGCAAACAGTAAAATTTTTTCTACATTTTGTTAACCCCACGCAAAAGTATTAACTTTCAACTTGAAAATGTATCTAGTCTCGTTTCTTAACAATTTTTTGTTTTCAATATATGGCCAATCAGAAACAGTCGTCAGCATCAATATCACTGGGCAGAGCAATTTTCTTTTTTTTTTTTTTCAGAAAAACGAATAGTCATTTCCAATGTATTTTTATTTGCTAAACCCGAATCCGTCGTCCAAATTTGGCTATAAAAGATAAGATAAGAGAAAAATGGAGTAAAATACAAGATAAAAAGATTTCCGCACTCGGCTTTTTGGCCTGTTTGACGCCACTTTTCTAAAAATGGTGACATGACAGCCAAATTTGAACGACGGATTCATGTTCAGCAGATAAAAATATATCGGACATGACTTCGCACTCGTGTCATGGAAAAAAATTTGATTTTTGTCAAACAGTGCAATGATTTGTTCTTGGTGCAAACAAGCACTTTGCATCACACATTTTTTCCATGAGTACCACCTTTGTAATAAATATGTGTATAATAAATAAAACATTTATTTTCTGTGTATATACAAGTTTTGTATCGATTTTTCTTTAATATTATATTATAATTAATATAAACACTATATATGGAGGGAGTAAAAAATTTGATATTTAATAAAAATGAAATGCGCCATTGCAAAGACTATTAAATACTGTAAAACTTTTATAGGAAATATTTTTTCATACACCTCTTAGAAATTATTCTATAAAAATGAAAAAGTTAATGTTTTCAAGGGGCTGTTTTAATCCCTAAACATCGAAATAAGCCGATATAAAAAAAATATGAGTCTTTTATTTTTTGATGCTCTACAACATATCCAAAGCGCATCAAAATCAGTGAGGGACAGTTCTGTTCCTTGTAAGATGTATAAAGAATTAACGAACTTTGCAATATCGCATATATAATATATATTTTTAATTAATATAAATGACAGACAGAGAACTTCTGTCTGAATTATTTGAGAAAGGACTCCGCACAAATTTTATGGAAAATGGATTTCAGTCGAATCGGCTGTAGATTTAGTATAATATAGTTTATAACGTCCTGATAAAAAGTGTTCATAAGCACAAAGCCCAAAAATGGACAGTTTCCGAGTTATAGAGCATCAAACTGAAAAAAAAAATTTATTCTTCTTTATAAGAATAGTACAAAACATTATCGAATAAAATGTTGGTTTTTTATGTAGTAAGCAAACCGAATTTATGTTTTAATTTAATATTCCTGATTGAAAAATGCTAAACTTATTATAGTTCAGAATGTATTTTGAATAAATTTGATATTTATGATAAACATATGATATAGATTTGCGGATTTGCGGATTTGCACATTTATGAAATAAGTGTGTACATTTGAAATAAGTAACATTTACTTGAATGCAGTATATCATCTTTTTCATTTGTACACGGCGTCAGTGGCATACAGAGATAAAAGATTGATTGAATTGAAACGTGACAATGAAGAAACCAAACGCCGTTTGATTGAAGGGAACAAAATTTTCGATTCTTAGAACAAAACTTAGAACAAAACTTAGTCCATAAGAACCAGAAATTCTGTTTCCTTCAACTAAAATGTGTTTAACTCGTTAATTGTTATGTTAATTCAATCAAATTTCTTTCCCCATGCAAGATATTGAAAATTGATCTAGCGTAGAACATGTTAAATGTTAACGAAAAATATATGATGTGCAGGCTGGATTACCCGGTGACTCGTGGACATACTGCGTCGAAAGAGAACGACTAGCCAGAAGATCGGAATGGTTTCGAGCGATGCTCACTGGCCCGCTTGCACCACCAGTGGCGGACTCACCGCCGTTGTTGCGATTACAACACGTCGACAAGAGAGCATTCGATCATTTTCTCAGGTAAATCCCAAGGCATATTTTACCATATTACTTGTTCAAATTTGCTGTGATAGCTTCACGGTTAAATATTATTTTGTATTATATTACGTAGTTATATATATATATATATATATATATATATATATATATATATATATATATATATATATGTGTGTGTATATATATATATATATATATATAACTATGTAATATACACACACACGCGCGCGCGCGCGTGTGTGTGTATGTGTATAGTTTCACTTACTCATGCAACGAATGTTAGTATTCATAATATTGGTAATAAATCAACTGCAACCGCACTAAAGGTGATTTTTACTAAGCTCCGACTAACTAAATCGTCGATTAAATCCGTTGTGACCAGCAAGTAGCTATTGATTATTAGTTAATTTTGCTGATTACAATGGAATTAATTGACGATTAAGTTAATCGGAGCTTGGTAAAAGTCACTCTAAATTAATAAATATTATTAACACTTATAATATATATATATATATATCCCAGCAAACACAGATATATAACAGTTACATTGCCGTAATGAAACGGAATGTAACATGCAATATAACATGTATGTAGTAGGTTATATAGATGTTCGTTGTAATTTCCTACTCACATATGTTACAGTTATATAACGTGAGTATAACATAAAAGTAACATGTGACTAAAAAGTTATATAAAAGTTATATGTTATTTGTTAGCAAATTAACACATATATTTTTTTGTTGAATTCCAACGATTTATTCATTAGTATGGTTCAGATAAGTGATAATGTATGATTATTTTGTCTAAATAATTAAAAAAAAAACTGACATTTTATATTCCGTATTATTTCAATTATTCGTGAAACTCGCGTGGTTTCGATCCTATGTCAGGCGGGCACCCATTTTTAGATCATGTTGTTCAATGCTTAACTTCAATGATCGTCAGGGAACTGGTGATGCTGATGCGCCGTAATGATATCTCTCTCTTGATAGATAATATTTACAATATATTTTTATATCGTTCAAAAAATGTTATGATATATTTGTTGGTAAATGTTTGACACGACAATCACAATATGATTAATATTGATACAATGTTGTATCAGTAATCAAATTTTAACCTACAACTCGCAAAAGAGAGAATATTCCTTCTTTCTCTCTCACAATACTTTGACAGAGTAAGGTTATGATTAGACTCTTTGTAAGAACTTTAGTTTTACAATATCGTGATAGCGATCCTTGCATATATTAAAATATCACATTTTATATACGAGAAACACCTAAAATATAATTTTACATTTGTGTATAAAAATATTGCACAACTGAAATTTAATGCAAACATTAGACTTCTTATATAACATGTTATATTAAAGTTATGTTGCTGTTATATTGTTGATGTAACTTAACCAATAAATAACATAATAATATAACAGTTTTATAATATAGTTATATCGAAGTTATAAAGGAAATTAAGTAACCTCAATATTAATAATGTATAACAGCAATTATATTACATGTTACTCCTGTGTTATATCACAGTTATGTTCTGTGTTTGCTGGATAATTATGCAGAATATGGTAAATGAGTTATAGTAGCGACGACTGCCGTCATGTACTTATACTTTAGGTCAAATTGAACAAAAAAGTCCTCTACCATTTTTCAAATAATTACATAGATTTTTAATTATTAATTAAAGAAGCACGATTTTGCGTGATAATGCACTCATCTTCTTTAATTAATAATTAAAAATCTATGTGATTATTTGCAAAATGGTACAGGACTTTTTTGTTCAATTTGACCTAAAGTATAAGTACACGACGGCAGTCGTCGCTATTATAACTCATTTACCATATCCTGCATGATCATTCACAAATTTTCTACAATTAATATCTCGATAATTATTGCGAATATCACAAAACGTATAGGACTTTTATGTTCACCTCAACCTGTTTTACGTTCCCACAAAATTCCCGGAGGAGAGTGTGAGACACCCTGTATAAATAACCACATAGATTTTTAGATATTAATTAAAGGAAATTTGTGCATTATCGCATATAATCATGTAACAATTTTCTTTAAAAAATGATTAAAAATCTACGTGGTTATTTGCAAAATAATAAAGGGTTTTTTTGTTCAATTGCTGGAAAATAATAATTTATATTCCATTTCCAGCTATATA